ACAATTTGAAGCAGAATTAAGAGCAGATACGGTTGTAGAAGGTGTGGATAAATACAATGTCTTGTGAAAATCGAGAAAAGTTAGTGGAGATTTTGACAATGTAGCCGAAGATTGAGCGATCGATTAATAGTTGTTCGCTCAAACCTAACTCCTCCATATTTTTCGCGGGTCATCAATCCATCAGTCATCGTCTCATCTTTCGCTGTTCAGGGGAAGATAAAAAAACTATCAGAAGTATTATCGTGATTTAATGTTATAACATTCACGCCTAGACCTTGTGTAACAACCTTATTGTTGGTTACATGTTGGCGTAAGAATAAAGGATTCCTCAGTCGCCAATCAGTGTTCTGGTTTTCGCGTTGGTTAATGCAAAGTGTTTCTGAAAGTCTTCGAGGGATAGCGTGAGGCCCAGCGTAGCAAGAGCTGGACATTGACAGTTTATTCAACTTGGCTGACAGTTATTAATAAAAGAGAGCAGTGGTGGTAATCTGCCAGTTAGACGGCCTTCTAAAAGCCGAACAACAACAGCTTCGGATGCACTGCCAAGTTCATCAACTTGTATCACTCAGTCGTCATTGGTGTTGTCATCCACAATGAAAGGAACGTCCATGAACTCACGTGTCTTATGCTTTGACTATTCTAGTATCAGTCAGTTTAGTGAGGATAAGCCAACTGTGTACGAGAGGGTAACTGTTAAATTGACTTGCACGCATAAAGGGATTTCAAGTTTCAAATTACTATTTCAACGTTATTATCTTTGGTGTAAATTACTCTGTTCCTGCGCTTGGTTAGTCATATACGTCGTGTGATTGTAAGTCATCTATATTCCACGACACAATGACATGAGCGCGTCACCATTCAAAGTTGAGGATGAAGATGATAGAAGGAGGTCACCAAATGAACTGCACGACGATATTCCAACCTAGGGCGCCAACCTGAGAAGGGTTGTAGGCGTACTGATGTAAGTCCTACAATTCTTCATACATACATATTCATTATTAACATTTTGATGAGGCCTGTTTACTGGAGTCCTTGATGTGCCTTTATTGAGAATATATTATTATCAGATACATTTCGTTTGTTTATATGGGAAATAACTTCCGGACATTTCATGAAGTTATATTTGCAACTACCCGTTGAAATCTTGATCACAGTTCATATGAAATGACTTGAAGCTTGATTTTTTTCCCAAGCATCTGAAATCCAGTCATCACATTCTTAGAGTTTCTTGTTAATGCAAAGACAATATTTCTATATTTCTTGATGTGCTCCATTGAATGACTAGTTATCACATTGTTCCCACAATCCAAATTCAAAGACGACAGCAATCGTGTAATTTAACCGTAAACCATGTAATTTAAATAATACTTGTCCAGCCTGTACAACTGGTGTGTCCTACATAGGTAGGAACAAATATGTAACTTATTATATTATAATTACTAACTAAGCTTACTAATCGTATATGTAACTTATCATATTGATGATGCCTGTAATCTGGCGTCCCTCATGTACAAAAATGAGAAGATATTATTATTTGTCTGTGCCTGCAAAAATGTCTGATGCACGTGGTCATCTTCACTAAACCTGAACTTGAAAAGCACGAGACATGAGTGGTTTCCAGATTTCTTGAGGAGACGCAAAGCCTGGCATTCATTTTAGTTTTACGCACCAATACTGCTGCAAAATATCCTAGATGTGTAACAACACAACAGTATTGCGTAAGCACAAAAGGTCGCATTGGGCAGTTTGTACAGTATTATCCGCCTTTACGATAAGCATAGAATGTGCTGGCACAACTATACTCATTTGAATAATAACAAAGAATAACTGGAATAATTGTCTCACTTCTGGTCAACTTTTATGTACTAAGTATTTTTGCAAGTTTTCATTTATTCTTATATGTAAATCAAAACTTTTCACTGGCGATTGGCCCAATTTCACGCAATCCTCCGAACTCCATGGATTTCAGTTTAGTAGTGGAAAATGGCAGTAGCTATATCATGACATTTGGACGTCCGTAGGTATACTAGTTATTGATTAAGACCGAAATAGCATACTCGGAACTGCTTCGGGAATGTTATTTTGAAACTTTACATTGAATGAACGAAATGTCTGTGATCCGCGCCGCACCGTGCAGATTCGAAAGACCGGTCAACTTTCAGATGTGGAGTCGAACTATAGCGTCCATGATCGAGGATTTCAACAAAAATATCTGTTTGTATGCATAATTATGAATTTTCGGGAAGTGATCACTTTTGATTTTGCCGCTCTCATCTTGCATACAACGCCCCTAGATTTCGTTATACTTCTGCTTTTCAGATCGTGGAATGTCTTCTCAAGTCCGAACCTGGGAAAAATCACCTACGAACATATACTGACATTTTATTATTGCTTTGACTAATTGTTTGTCTCTTCATTTTCGTGTGGGCGTGTAAGGGAGTCTCGGAACGCTGTGGTTCGATGCCAACGGGACATAATCAAAAGGCCCTGTTGGCTGGATTTTTATGAACATGATCCTGACAGAAAACTAGTTTGCAGATATCGACCATTAGATAGAATTAGAGGATGCTCAAACTATGAGACAACCACTAACAGTCTGGCGTAACAATTTCTACAAAAACGTTTTGCAGTTAACTAAGATGACGTGTGACGTCATTACAACTCTTCGTGAAATGCTAGTTGGACACATTTAACCTGTTCTGTGTGGATTTCCTGCACATATTCCGCATCTTCACGTTGGGGTTGGTTCAAAGTAATGATACGCAAACTGACGTCGCAGCCTTCAAGGGCACTCGGTGGGAAAGCCTATATGTAATTCCGAAAGATAGACCAATCAAGCCGACATTCTTGTGGAAGTCGAGATAAGGAGGAGGCTGATGTAGGGCCACTACAACACGGTATTATAAGGCCATTCAGGTGTTGTAAATGATCAAGGAATTCAGAAGGACAGAACAAGTAACCAAGTATGATCTGCATCTTCTTTATGATTTGTAGTGCTTTCTTTATCTGTTGAATGATGAGTACCCTTCCGTTTGTTTAAAAAGGTATTTCCCGCTTCACGCGCCAATCGCCTTGCCTTCAGAAATAAGGGTTTATAAGTATCATAAGTCTCTTGTAATATTACAAGTCGTCAGTTCCTAATTAAAATCGGTTTCTAGACACTTAAGCCTTGTTATCAGCTTGAGGAAAACAACTAGTGCTTCCACAGCACTCTAAGGAGACATTGAGGACTAAAATCGACATTCAGGTCTTTGTGGGCGTTATATAATGGAAGCGCGACTTCAGTTACCAATAACCCAGTTACATTAATAAAGGCGGTATGCAATCGTCCAAGAAATATGGCAACTTGAAAAGTTGAAATTCGCCATATAAATGAGGGAGTATCTCGGATATCCGATATCCGTACACCACTGGTCATACTTTACTCTAACCGAGTGACACATATGAGCCACTTTTGTGCCATTCTACTGAGCATCAATCAGTAAATGTCACAATAAAAAAGGCCTTCAGAGGCCCTGCATATTCGGGTTCGAGGAGGTTACAGAGGCCCATTTACTCGTTTTCACTGTGGGACTGCTGTCCCTAAAATGGCCGCAGAGAGCTGCGTACAGTACGTGATGTTTCAGACAGTATTCAGATGATGCTAGTAATACAAGGCTGGTACTCCAATAAATGGAAAATCCACTTTATCGTGATGACATCTATATATACAACTACGCACAGTCAATCTGCTGAACTCAGCCTGAATCTCTTAAACTCTTTATTTATACTCATTTTAATCTGTAACGCCATGAATTCTCTTTACTTGCCACTGGTTGGTGATATGCTTATGTGATTTGAAACCCTGTGATCAGTTTAAAAGATTAACTGGTCGGTGAATCCTCATCGATTACAGAAGTAAGGAAGGTCTAGATAGGGGTCGTACTCTTTTATCCAACTTTTACAAGCCCACTAAAACCCATGACATCTACCTGTGCTACAGAGGAACCTACGCGCAATCCTACAAATATCAGGAAATTTTTCTCACCATCAAGGAATTTGTCTGATAGCAACTTGTTAGTTTGTAATGAATTTTTATCCAGGATTAACATTAGATTTGGGATTAGTGAAGTCCGAGTTTACCTCTCCCCATTTAGAACATACCAATTTTACAGCTGCCAGTTGATGGAAACATCGTTCTCCACCTGAATATCATAAAACCCTATCCTGAATTATGTTCTCTGAGCTGTTCAACTTAAATGCGAAGCTGTCGTAGTCCTTCTAAACAACATCTCCACCTCATGTTTTAGTGTGAAACAGACTAATTTATATTAAAACCTGAGCCGAAGATATTGTCTAGGAAGGCAATCAAAGCTTCGCAGCTAAATCAACCAGCTCGAAGAACATAACTAATTCAACATCATTCACTGAGGTACAAATCTTAATTATTTCAGAACCCTACCAAAGAAATTCTACGGTAAGTCTGTCCGACTCAGTACCCTACTACAGTTCCTGCTGTTGTACATGCCATGAAACTTGTACCCAACCAAAGTCTAACTAAGGCCTATGGGTTAGTCACTGGAATCTCGCTGGAATTCATCGTCGAACAAAGAAAACGAAATCGAAGTAAATCTACATAAGGGTTCTACTTTACGTTATTTGCCACATGCTCATTTCGAATTTTCTCCATTTACTCACCGATATGTAAGATTAAAATAAGTCCTGAGTAGAGTTTAAATAACCGACTCATGCGATAACGACTGAGACAGCCTCCCAGCGTTTAAGTAGGGTTCGTGAATATTATAATTGGTTCCTGATTTTCACGTTATACCACCATCTAAAATTCTTGTCCTGGAAAAAACTGAGTATTTCGCTACGTAAAGAGAAAAAGCTGTGAGACATACTATGTGGATGTAGTGATACATTTTTTTCACTATCACTTATAAGCTACAGGGAAATTGACTGAAGCTTTATCCCACAATTCTTATCGCACTAAATTTAAACAGGAGCGAAACGTAGGTAGATTTGGTTTCATAGAGGTGTACTTCTTATTGATTCATTTCTCTTATGACTAAGATCATTTGGTTTGTTAGAATCAGTTGATTGGCAGATGAAGAATTAATACTTGTGGCGACAAATAATAAGGGAAATTTGTTAATCTAAGTTAACTCATATCGAAGATCGAAAATTTAACGCTTATGGGTGTCTACGAAGTTATGTTCTCTTAAAGTCTCTTCAAATTCAGATGTTAAAGACACATGTCTATAGGTTTGTGATAAAGTAAGGCTGTATCCATTGTTGACTGCTGCAATATGTCGTAAAAAACGATCTCCAATAGATGCATAATTCAAAATTTGACACCAGTTTTTTTGGTAGTTACATCCATGACTGGATATAAGCCGCTTTGGAACCGGCCAAACTCTCGCGGCCACTGTTTTATGGGAATGATAGTGCCATCAAGTGCATCTCGTAATGCTCGTTGCTGTTATGGATTAGCCACTGATCAACTTCGTCTCACGTGTTTTCTTTTTGCATGTCATTACGCTGACCTCACACACTCTCACTTCTGCCTGCGCCTTCTGTATGTTGATTGTGTGCTATGGTATACTTGGTTTGAAATCGTAAGGGACTTCATACAAAGAACTCAGATGCTATACACTTCAGCAAGTTGAAAGTCATTCACATTCAATCTTATTAGATTTCAGATTTATTGGCTGAGGATAGGAGGCTTGGAGCCTATGTTAATCCTTTTCTAGTTAATTTCTGTGGTTGTCTGAATCCTTCTTGAACGAATCAGTTGAGGTTGCAGACACCACTTCTTCTGGGAGTCTGTTCCAAGAGTTTATGACTCGATGTGAGAACCAGTACTCAACAGCAATATGATCTCTCCTTGGCTTTTGAACTCTCTTGCTGTGTCCTCTAAGGTGTTCCGACCTGGTGGGAAGGAAAAGAGAGAATAGATCAGGTCCGTAGTCATTATTTAAAATTTTAAACATTGTGATTAAATCTCCTCTGTCTACGGTATGACAGGGAGAAGAGGTTTAAACTGTCTAGTCTTTCCTCGTATGATAAGTTAGCTATACCGTAAACCATACGTGTTGCCTTCCTTTGAACACTTTCTAGAATGTGTAAGTCCCTTTTTGAATAAGGACTGGCGGCCTGGATGCAGTTTTCCAATCTTGACCTCACCAGAGATGTATATAAGGAGGTGAACATATCTCTGGTAATTCTAGTAAAGGCTCTGCGAATTGCCCATAAGGACCTGAAACTACGTGCAGCCACCGCGCGACAGTGTGCTGTAGTTTTTAAGTCGTGGCGAACTATGACACCTAAGTCCAAGTGAGTCTGAGCTGATGGAAGTTTTATCCCCTCTAGTTTGTAGGAGCTGGAGTTTGCGTGTCCAATGCGCATGGTTGCACATTTTGCCACGTTGATCGGGAGCACCCACTATTAAATAAAACCGTGTATATTTGCGAACAAGATGCAAATAGAAGTGATTACTCTGATAACATACCCTTCAAACGTATCTCAATTTCATTCTATTGAAATAGTGTACAAATTTATTCCTGCTAATGACGATGGGTGGAGTTAAACTACACCAGCCACCCAAACGCATTAACTTCGAAAAAAATGGTTGGAATTACAGGTTGTATAGCCAAATCAAATTGTGCCCTCTGTTCTGGGATTGTTGAACGAGTTACAGGAAGCACAAGTGTTTGATTACAATGCGAATATTGGATTCGTTTGAGTTATTAAAAAATGCATGTTCTGGGGGGGGGAGGAAACTTGACAGGATTACTGATATTTTAGGGTGGATTGAAGAAGAGAGTCAGAAGTATAAAGGGATTTCGGAACACTTATCTGTAGTTATCGTTTTAACAGTTTTTACGAATTCTGTTGTCCCTTAATTGCTATTATTTGCTCAAAGTAAGTGATAAAGCCGATAGGGGTGACTGCTGTGGTGTAATTGCACGAACGTATTTTTCACTTGCGTGAGTGTTAAAAGCGAAATGTAGAAGTAGCAATAACCACATGTTGGTATGTTGCAGATTTATGACCAAATACTCCTGTAAAAATAACAATCCCAACTGTTGGGTTATTAGTGTTTACACAAGGTCCATATAAAGGAAGTATACCTATATTTGTAAAGCTAGGATGAGACAAACTAGACAGTTTTCACTACTACTGGTGAGTTGCTAATAAAACATCCTGGTATGACGCTTGCCCGAGTTTCAGAATGCCATTTTTTACAAGAGGTGCACGTGTGAAAGTCCCATACTCGAATAAAATAAGTTGAATCCTATATTTGTCTCGGTATTTATACAAGTCTACCAAGTGGATCCTCACGTCAACTTTGGTGTTATCTGTAGAGTATGTGGAGACCTTCCAAAGGCTTATTTAAATTGCATAAGTTTTGGCAATTCTCATTCTAAGGACTGAGTTCCTCATATGAAGAAATTTCTCCTAAACTTTAGAATGGACTTAACATGTGCCGTCCTTCTGTTTTTGGAAGTCCTTCCTTCTATCTTTTTGCTCGCATAATATCTTTTCTCTCCTTACTGTCTCTTTTTTGTGCAGTTCAAATTTTCTGTTATTGAGTCTCATTTGTTTCTTCCGACTACGCTGCGTTATTTAGGCTAGTTAATCGATCTGCATTGGTTCTAATAAATATTCATGTTGTTATGTTACTTATGTTTCATAATTTCTCACAAATGTCTTCAGCCTTAATCAAAAACTGAGTATATTTTAGATGTGTTTAAGAATATTTCTTCATTTTGCCTAGTATTCGTAGTGTAAATTCGGTTGTGTAGCCTAAGGATAGGTTATTTTGGTATTTATTGTGCGTATAGCTTAACTTCTTCACCTTACGTACAAAATAACAATTAAAAATTTAGTTGGATACATGTTTGGTTTCTCCTGATCGCAAAATAATCAAACACATCTCAAGTTTTTTTTGATATAACTACTTGAAGAAAACTGAATTCTTATCCGAATTTTTACTGTTTGTTCGCTTAAATGAAATCGTAGAATATTAGTGATATATATGGTAAGAATTATCTACTTATTCAAGTGAGTCGAAACGAGAAGTTACAAGAAAAGCATGCATGACTTTCGACAGCTTATTTTACAGCTATGTATGGATGATAGGTATTAAATCTATTTGTGAATGAAGTGAATATCAAATACGCTTCAGTGTTATTGAGGATGATTGAAAAGGTTTTTGCCAAACAGATAGTCTCGTAAGTACTAGTAAATAAAGCAAATACCTATAAATGTAGGTGATGTAACTGTTTCCAACCAACAGTGGGGTTAGACAGGGTTGCCTGATCTCTCCATTTCTCTTTAACTTTACTATCGATGACATTATGGAGTCAGCTCTGAAGGATGTGCGTAAAGGTGGTGTAGGTCTGCTCCCTGGAGATAGACTTTTCGACCTCTAGTATGCAGACGATATCGTCTTACTGTGCGATAGCATGCAGGCTGCCCAAATCGCACTTAATCAGTTGGCGATCAGTATCTGTAAGTATGGTATGTATTTTGTGCCGTCCAAGTGCAAAGTACTGTTACAAGATTGGCATAAGCCTGTACCTGCACTCACTTTTGCTTGCAGATGAACCGCTTAAAGTTGATTATAAGTTTATGTATCTGGGTTGTTGTGTGAGTGCTGGTGGAGGGATGACGGATGAAATTTCCAAGCGTATCATGAAGGCTAGGGTGGCATGCATCAAATTAAGCCACCTCTGACGCCATCGCGACGGTAGCCTGGCTGTCAAAGGTCGGGTATACAATGCTTCGGTGGGGCGGGCTGTCTTGCTCTACGCCTGTGAAACCTGGCCTCTCTGAGCTGAGGATGTGCGGTGGCTCTGCGTGTTCGATAATCGCTGTCTCCGCAGGGTTGCTTGCTTTTGATGGCATCATCGCGTGAGTAATTCTGAGGCTCGGCGGCGTGTGTTTGAATGCAGTGGAGATCACCGTTCATTGAGTGTCGTCATCTGGAAACACTGACTTCGGTGGCTTGGACATGTGCTGCGAATGTCATCCTAGAGGCTTCCGTCCAGGTTTCTGTTCGCTAGCTAGCCCTGGGACGGGATAGAAAAGGCGGAGAGGTGGTCAGTCCATGACGTGGCGTCGTGGGATGAAGGGTTTTGTGCTAGTTAGCATCGGCTGGTGCGTCACGACTCCCTCGTTGGGGTCCGCGAGAATAATTCGAATCGATGACTAGAAACGTTATCGGATATGGCCAAGAATCGTAATCAATGGTGAACGTGCTGCAATTTCCTTCTTTCTTGGCTTCCTGATGATAGTTGACGAATACTGTTTGAACTTGTGAAGCATGACTGTTCTCCTTACAGTTGAAGTTCCTTACCCGTTCTCTGCGTATATTTTTACTTTTAATCTATGTTGTTTTATTATTATTGTGTGGTGCATCTTTCTTGGTGCTATATTGTACCAAGTTTTTCTGCGTTTAAATAAATAAATAATAAATAAAACTTGAGACTGATAGCAGTAATACATATCCATGTCTTGCCCACAACTAAACTGTAGTATCATGACTCTCTGCTTGCTTTTTTCTCTATTCTCTTGTTTTAAAACATTCTTGAATATTCAGTTACGTCATACTGATCTCCTTGTCTCTATTCACTACTTTTTATATATGAGTCCTGTGCATCTGTCCGAATTCCATAATAAAGTAATTTTAGTTGATAAAATAAACGGTGATACAGTGTTGCTTACTGATATGCACAATTTATTACTCATAATTATATCAGGCTGGAAAAAAGCTAGCGGCGGTCAAACAAAAACTTGGCCTCAGTCAATGAAATCCACAACAGTTGGTCTAAGCCACGTAGAAAGGTGTAGACTTCCAGGCTGGGGTCCTCGGGACGGTAAAAATCTATGGTTGGAAACAATTGGTGACATGGCTCAAAATCGTTCTCAGTGGCGCAGATGCATCCACTCCCTGTGACTTATGATCTCCAATGAAACTGTTTTGTATTTCTTTATTACTCCTTTGTCTCACACCTCTGCTCACAGTTTCTATTATGCTTTTCTTGTACTTTCTTCTCTTGCTTCGCGTGCTACACGGAATGTGGCGACTTGAACTTCCGCACATTTGTGCAAAGTTCTATGTCGAAAACAGACAGACATAATTATATCAGTGTCTGTTTGGAACATAACTCAGTAATGTCTGTCAGTTGTAACAACAGAAGGCAAGATACGGAAGTCAAGGTCTATTTTCAAATGATCAAATCGCTACTTATATAGATACAGATATATTGGCTAATATCATAATAATTAAGAATGTGAAGCCATTATATCCATCCATCTAAGCTCTTTGTACATGCGAAAAATGATGTCACATCCCACTGTATTTACCAATTTGAATGTACGTGTGACCACACATGGGAGGAAGGACTCATCGATCTCTACAAGTAAGAGCTGGCTTCAGGGCATATTCCGAAATGGCTTTAAAAGCAAATAGGATCTTCAGAACCCATTAATAGTGAGAACAGAAAACCTAGCTCCTCAATTGCGAAACATATTATAGATACAGAATATAAAATTGACGTTAACAGATCTATAAAACGTGTTTGGGGCGTATCCCTAAGTTTGTGGAAGCCTTAGCTAGCAATCAGGAAGTTTAAACCACCTTCAAAGCAAGAATTCGTCATCACACTAAACCTTCCTTGGTAAACTTTGTTTCGATACCAGACAGGGTGGATATACTATTACCTCTGTTATTTGGTTTAGTGATCTTCACTGTTATTTTGACCTTCAATATGTCCTTTTAACTTGACATAAGTTTGTTTTCTCACCTCTTAACTCTATATTAATATCATGTATATTCCTATGAGAAATCCGTGTGTGATCAGATTGTTCGAAATGCGTTATACGTGCAAATACATTACACGATTCAGACAAATTACGTCTTATTGCTTTGTCTAAATTCTTAACTAATTGTTTTGAATATTAACAATTACAATAATAAGAGTATCCAAAGTTCCAGTTCAGGGTATTTCCAAGTTATTACAGCAGTTTTTAGTTTGTACTTGAACTTAACGTACCCAGAACACTTCTACAGGTTATTTATGTGCACGCGTTTTTGTCTTCGATCATAGGTGCCTGCGTTCTATCTCCCGTATGAAGTGGTATAACAAGATGAGCAATATTGAGGTTATGCACCGGTCGAGTTCTAGGTAAGGAGGGGAAATCAATCGACGAGACTGTGAAATTACATCCATTGACATGGTTAGGACATGTGTTACGCATGCCTAGTCATCCCCTTCCTTGACGGGTAATGTTAGCTGACATAGGCTCAGGCTGTAAAAGAGAGAGCTGGTGACGGTCAAACCAAAATATGACCTCACCAGTCAATGAAATACACAACAGTCAGTTTAAGCTAGCCACGTAGGAAGGTGTAGACCTCCAGGCTGCTTAGGGTCCTTGAAACGGTACAAACCAATAGTTGGAAACAATTGGTGATATGGCTCAAAATCGTTCTCAATGGCTGGCTGGCGCAGACGCATCCACTCCTTGTGACTTATGATTTCCAATGAAACTATATTGTTCTTCGATAGTACTATTCCTTTGTCTCACATTTCTGTTTACTGTCTCTATTATGCATTTCTTCTCTTGATTTGTGTGCTACAAGGAGGGAGGGAGTGTGGCGACTTGAACTGCCGCACATCGGTGCAAAGTTCTATGTCCAAAACAGACAGACAGACGCGTTTTTGTGGTATGTTAATTCATTTTGTCTAATCGTGTCTAAGCTCAATGAAGAAATTTATTTAACATTGTTATTATCATTATTATCCCCTTTTCAGATATATCTGGATATAAATGAGTCAACAACTTCTTGATACTACTATAAAATCACGAAAACCTAAAAATTCTGCATTTTTCCAACAAAAACTACCAGCATGGCAACCAATGTTTACGGCAAAAAAATCTGGCATTATGTTTATTGTATTTGGAGTAATACTGCTACCAATCGGTGTTGTATTGCTATTAACCTCAAATAATGTTATTGAATATTATGTCGATTATACAGATTGTACTCAAACAGGTTCACAAGTCCTGTGCTCCAACGTGGCTGTTTCTGGAAATTCATGTGTTTGTTCTCAAGAAGTATCGATTAAAACATTTATTCCTGGACCTGTTTTTGTCTATTATAGTTTAAGTAATTTTTATCAAAATCATCGAAGATATGCACGATCTAAAAATGATGACCAATTGCTTGGTAGTTATCAAGATCCAAGTTCTTTATCTTCTTGTGCGCCGTATTCATCAATCGATGGTAAAGCAATACTTCCGTGTGGTGCAGTTGCAAATAGTATATTTAATGATACTTTCACTATAAAATATATACGTGAGGATAAAACAGAAGTTGCTGTTGATACTTTAAAAACTGGTATCGCTTGGCCATCTGATATAGCGAAGAAATATGGTGTTCTGGATAGTAGAGGTGAGTAGAGTATCTATTCAAGTGGGGTTTTTTCCTCATCACTATCCATAATAATGTAACGGTTTATTTAACTTATTTACAATTCATGAATTCATTTTTCATTTTAATGTCATGTGAATTTTGGCTTGTCTCCTCAGCATAATTGAATGGTTCATTGTACCCCGATGATTTGATTTTAAACTCAGACACACATGGGAGAGGTGGTTATTTCTATAAAAAAAAACTCGTCTCTAAGAGGGATCTTTATCAAAGATAGGACTTCAGGTGAACATAAAGAAAACAGAGGTGATGAAGATTCCTGGCCAACAGCAACAACAACAGACAACAATCAGCATAAACAGGAGGAACCTGAAAGAAACAACCTCCTTTTCCTACATATCTACCTGGAAGCATCGTTTCAACTACAGGCGGACGGAACTGTTGGGGATATCAAAGTGGGGAGGATCGGGAAAGCAAGACAAGCTTTCATTACTCTCAAGTCTGTGTGGAGGTCAACAGCACTCAGCATGAAAAACAAGATCCTGATTTTCAACTCCAGTGTGAAGTTAGTGCTACTCTATGGATCAGAGACTTGGTGTGTCATGAATAGCACTTCGGAAAAACTACACACCTTCATCAACAGCTGTCTCCGCTCAATACTCAAGATCAGATGGCCGGCCAGGAAAGATCAGTAACAGGGATCTCTGGAGCGAACCAACCAGGAACCGATTGTGCGACAAATAGATAGGAAGAAATGATGGTGGATTGTCTATACTCTGAGGAAACCATCAAGTCACATCACTATACAAGCCCTCGAGTGGAACCCGAAATGGAGCGGCGAGTTGGTCGTCAGTGCAAGGGTGACTTGGAGGCGATCATGTGAAGAGGAGATGAAAGCGTATGGGAAGACTTGGAGCCGGATGAAAACGTTGACAGAAAACCGAACGCAATGGAGATGCGCGACTGAAGCCCTATGTTCCTCTAGAAATTAAAGGAAATAATAATAATAAGAGGGATCTTAGCGTGCAACTGTAATTGCTAATTGTAATATTACACGTAAAGATGCAACGCATTGGCGTAACCACTCTACTTTCAGCCACTGGGTCCTGGGTTCGAGTCCCACTTCACCTACTTCAGCCTGGGCATTTGCGTAGCATTATTTAGCTCCCACACAACAAGTGTGTGGCTTATAGCCAAGTACTGGATAATTGAGATCTAAGTAACCATAGCTAACAATATTGCACGTAGATGTTTCAGACTGCAATAAACTAAAGTTTTTTCGATTAAGTGGGAACTTAACTGCATCTGAGCCGTACTCTACGTAGAAATACAAGTGCCTAGCTTATTGTTTTATCTGTTAAGATAGCTAGGACTTGTGTTACACATGGCCATTGAAACGGTGGATATGAAAAGACTAACTGTCTTTGACTTCAGTTGGTTGCATTCCACCTTCCGTATTTATTAGCATAATAATATGAAGTCGGTTCTTCTCTACAGGTCAGAAACTTGGCCAGCGTGTCATGAAAAGGATTTCCAACAGGCTACTGAAGACTTTCATCAACAGCTGCCTTCGCTGCATACTGAAGATCAAAGTGGCCGGCCAGAAAGAATTAAGAAACAAGAAACTCTGACGATGAACAAACCAACCAAGTAAGAGCCGATTGCTCAACAAATAGGTAGGAGAAAATGGAGATGGATTGATCGGGCATACATAGAGGAGGCCGCCTAATGACATCGCACGCCAGGCCATCGAGTGGTATTCTAATGGGAAGCGACGAGTGGGTCGTCGGTACGATGGTGACATGGAGGAGATCGTGTGAGGAAGAGATGGAAGGTTGGGTGCGAAGTGTTAGGTATAGTACATTAATCGACGAGGCTGTATAGGTGAATTGATTGAGTTGGTCAGAACATATGCTAAACATGTGAAGGCATTGACTTCCGTGTTGAGAATGTTAGGTGATATAGGATTGGTTTGAAAAGTTGTTAAGGATGGTCAGACCAAAACGTGAAATCAGTCCATGAAGTCTTTGACAGTTAGTTTAAGCGACTTAGGGAGGTGTAGGCTGCCTGACTAGGGTCCTCAAGACACTAATAACCACTGACTTGAGACTGTTAGGTAATATGGCACAAAATCGTTCTCAATGACTGGCATAGTTTCATATTCACTCTTTGTAATCTACTAAAGCGTCATGTTTATCTCTTACATTACTATTGTTCCTCCCCCTTCCCCACATTTCTGTTTTGCACAGTCGTTTCGAATCTCTTTTACTCTCCCCCTTTTTGTCTACCTTTGTGTACTACATGAAGTGTTGCACTTCTGTGCAAATTTTGATGTGGTTGTGTTCTCCGAGCTAGCTGGATGGTTTATTTGCGAAGCTTTCATTATTGCCCCAACACTAAGCAACATCTTCACCGCATACTTCTATTTGAAGGGAGTGAGCTTTTAGATTTCTCCACAAGTTCACTATTAGTCATCTCTCCTGGTGACCACCTTGAACGTGACTCTTTGGTTGCTCTCGGCCGTTTACTTATAATGGTGTTGGTGTTGTTTGTTTCTTTGACCTGGAGTTTGATCTTTTGTGAGTGAGGTTTCCTTATCAGTTGGTAAATTTAGTATATCTCGATGTGTTCGTGGATTGACGATTCGTTGGAATATCAGGCTTCTAAAAATTCTCTAGCATTCTTGGTGTTTCCTCTGTGTAATGTTTGAACGTTGGTTGTCCCAGTTGAATTGATGTCCGTGGTTGTCTGTATGTAGCGAGTGATGTGAGGGAGTGAATGTCATGTCTTTTGACGGCTAACTTATGATCATGGATACGAAGACGAAGAGGACGTCGACTTTGGCCAATGTAGTGTTTTTCGCAGTTATTACAGTTTATTCTGTAGATGATGTTGGTTTTATCTTCTTTCACTGTTGAGTCTTTTGGTTGACACAGAGACAGCTGAGTGAAGTGATTTTGTTGGTTCGTGTGCGACGTCAAACAAACAAACACTACTCAAGAGGGCCCGGACTCATTGCAGCACTCCCACCTTAAGGAAAACTGAAGAAAGATATCTCATGGACGTCTTCCAAAGGAATGGATATCCACGGAATTTCATCAAAAAACATATAACCCCAAGCCAGCCTACCAAATCAAAGGCCCCGAAGGAAAGCACAAAGAAAATCACCCTGCCATATATAAAGGACATCTCAGAAATCACCGCAAAACTCTTCAAACATTTAGGAACTGACGTCGCACACAAACCAACAAAATCACTTCACTCAGCTGTCTCTGTGTCAACCAAAAGACTCAACAGTGAAAGAAGATAAAACCAACATCATCTACAGAATAAACTGTAATAACTGCGAAAAACACTGCATTGGCCAAAGTCGACGTCTCCTTCGTCTTCGTATCCATGATCATAAGTTAGCCGTCAAAAGACATGACATTCACTCCCTCACATCACTCGCTACATACAGACAACCACGGACATCAATTCAACTGGGACAACCAACGTTCAAACATTACACAGAGGAAACACCAAGAATGCTAGAGAATTTTTAGAAGCCTGATATTCCAACGAATCGTCAATCCACGAACACATCGAGATATACTAAATTTACCAACTGATAAGGAAACCTCACTCACAAAGGATCAAACTCCAGGTCAGAGAAACAAACAACACCAACACCATTATAAGTAAACGGCCGAGAGCAACCAAAGAGTCACGTTCAAGGTGGTCACCAGGAGAGATGACTAATAGTGAACTTGTGGAGAAATCTAAAAGCTCACTCCCTTCAAATAGAAGTATGCGGTGAAGATGTTGCTTAGTGTTGGGGCAATAATGAAAGCTTCGCAAATAAACCATCCAGCTAGCTCGGAGAACACAACCACATCAAAATTATCCATCTGAGCTACAAATCTTCTCCATCAAATCTACTTCTGTGCAAAGTCCCTGTGTTGAAACTCATATGTTATGAAATGAATTCATATCTACTTAAATATCCATTAAACTAATGCTTCCCCAATTAGTTATTCTCTACGTTTGTTTAATCTTTCACATTCTTCTTTTTGTTGTTGTCCTTGCTTGTGTATTGTATTGTAGCTCTCAATAATACAGTGAAACCACCCAATTGGCCTGTACCAATCCAGCAGAGATCGTCAAAGCCATTTCCAACAGATGAAGATTTAATTGTCTGGATGAGAATAGCTGCTTTACCATTCTTCCGCAAATTGTACGGTCGTGTATCACACACAAGTGATTTTACAGATGGTATGCCTCCAGGAACTTACGAAATTACAATTCGTTATTGTAAGTTAAATTAATCTTTTGTATTAAACAGTAGCGTTACATCATAGCTCTTTTTCTTTGTATTGATTGATTATAAAGATATGAAGGTTGGTGTATATGTTGAGTTAATGATATTAGATGGTTGGAGGCGATCGGCCAAATGAAGCCTTGCTTGACCTAGGTTTCGTGCTAGTTGGCACTCACCAGTCAGCAAGGCGTATCTGCAACCTTGAAGAAACTGATGTTCCTTCTGAGATTCTCTGACTGCAGAACTCACTGGGTGACGCGGGTTCAAATCTCAAAAGGGACATGAGTTCCTTCAGTTCCTACTTTTAATTACATGCCCAGACATTGTCGAAGCATCTGCACAAGGAGGCAACATGTGAACCTGGGACCGAGCACTTCTGTCCAATCAATCGACGGGAAAATCTAAAACTGAATTCAATAATTAATATTACCCGTTGCACATGAGGTGGCTCTCTTGGCCCAAGTGTTCTAGTGGATAACAGTTTTGTGTTGGAAACCATGGCCACTGGGTTCCAGCCTATGTGGGGAACACCATCGCTCACTGGGGAATGCAAGTACATTCAGGTGATGAGTCACAAGTAGGGCGAAATGCGGATCTTAGATTCCACTGCCAGTCACCATCCGCCAATTGACTTTACAATTAATTATATAATTTCGCTATTAGATAGTTAGAGGAAATCGGTAGGAACCCTTGCTTGGCGTAGTTCTCGTGCTTACTGGCGCTCGTCAGCAAAGTGTATCTGCAATCTTGAGGGAATTCAGGTCCTTTCAGAGATTTGAGCCCGGATCAGGCAGTGCTGCAGTCTTAAGACATTACCGCTGAGCTATTCAGGCTTGCGATCGACCTTCTTTGATTGGACACCAACTGGTGTCATTCGTCGAGTCCTTTGTTTCGTACTGACTGAATCCCATCAGTTTGCGATGTAACCACTATAAAATAGCAATTACCCAATGATTCACAAAACAAACTGTGTGTGCAAACATTGTTTAAAAGAGTCCAAACACGTAGTGTGGTGAGAGCAGGCTGCTAGCCAATTGGTAGACATTAATTTACGTTAATATCTAGGTCACTAAGATTGGCCGTGAGAAAATATGAACAAGGCTGATTCAACAACCAATCACAGCAGACTGAACGTGGACAAATACGATTCGCAGATATGTGGCTTAACTTTCTGAGAAACCAGTCACAAGCAGTACAGAATAACCTTGAGCAAGAAACAACCAATCAGAAGACTGTGTTTGTCTGCTTGAATAAGCTATGATAATGTATATCAAATATATATAAATACGTGCTGATTTCCGTAATAAAACGATCTGTTGCCGGCCCTTGTCTTCTGTTGTTACAGTAGCACTCCAGCGCTTAAGAGAATCGAAGAGAAATACTTACTAACTGTCTTCAAGAAGAATGAATACCTACAATTCAATTTAATCAAAAAGTGTTAAAACTCAATTTGTAATACTGACAAGAAACCGTCATCAAATATTATATAAGGCGATTTGTTCCTACACATATAAATTATATCTCTGAAATAACAGCTAGAATACTAAGACCATCGGAAATATATATTGCGGGCGAGCCAGCACATTCCCTTCATTCATTAGTGTCCAGATCACAGTGTCCATCAGTAAAAAAAGATAAGGTTAATACAATACCATTTACAATTTAAACCGCATGGACCGCGATAAACATTACATCGTTGGTCAAAGTGAGGTTCCCCTTCGAACCTGAATCCGACAATATAAATTAGCTGTGATGAAAAGACACGATATGTTACAGGATTTCATCATGAGTTGACATTGGTCAGAGAACCATTGGAAAACCTGTCAGGGAGTACTGGACAGCTGTTTCGTCAGCCTAGTTTGGGACTCTTCATCAGTAGTGGTTGCGCTATATCGTGAATTGGCAGTAGTTAGAATTCATACACTGGTCATTGGATTGGGTCCCAGTGGCTTAATGGTATGCGAGCTCGCTAGCCTTGTAACCAGGAGGTCCTGGTTTCGAACCCCGATGGGTGCGTATTGATGAAGAGTCCCAAAACTAGGATGGAACAGCTGTCCAGTACTCCCTGACAGGTTTTCCAATGGTTCTCTAACCAATGTCAACTCATGATGAAATCCGGTAACCAATCAACCGAATCCCTACAAACCAATACTTGAAGACACGATATGTAATCTTTCATATCAGTGCTTGTAGATCAATAAGGACATGAATTTGATGATTGAGAGAATGTAGAAATTTTGACCAGGGGAAATGCCAGAGAATTTCTAGAAGGTCGAGTCTGGTACTCAAATGAATCCGCAATTAACAAACACATTTTACGACAGATCAAATTTACTAACTATAATATAAAAGGTAAATCCCATGACAGGAAATTTTAAATTCCAAGTCAATCAAAATGATCGATAGAGATGTGAATCAACAACCAATCACGACAATCATGGAGAATTTCAAAAAAGTTCATTTCATACTAAAACTTAATCTGAAGATGTTGTCTAGAAGGGACAAAGAGAGGTTCGCAATTAAATCAACCAGTGGTATCAGACAAGAATGCCCACTGTCCCCATTCCTATTTAATTTCATCATATATGTACTAATGGAATTAACCCTAATTGACTTCAGCGACTTAGGGACTAATTTATTACTGGAGCATAATCTCGTTGACTTGAAATTTGCAGATGATACAGTCCCCTCAAATAGGCGGAGATGCTGACAAAATACAGAGCCTTCTGAACACCATGAGTTGGAATCCTCGAATGATTGACGTACGATTCGCTCCTGTGAAATATTAAATGATGCTACAGGACTGGGCTACACTGACTCCTAGTTTAGAAATAGGGAGTGAAGTGTTTGGTGGAGCGTGTTAACCACCTCACATGCTATTTGGGAAATTGCATCAGCCAACACCAGTGGGTTGATCGCTGACGAAATCTCAGCAAGGATGCAGAAGGCTTGTTTCGTATATGTCAGTTTACGCCGTCTCTGGCGTAGCAGACGTGATATCCGGCTGGCTGTCGACCAAAAGGCGTATGTACTGCTGAGCAGTCCGCTCTGTCCTCCTTTATGGCTGTGAGTGACACATGGCCATTGCGGGTGGAAGACATGAAAAGGATGGCTAGCTTTCTTTGATCATAGGTTTCTGCGCTCTATCTCCCGTATGAAGTGGTGTAATAAGGTGAGCAATATTGAGGTTAGGCGTCGAGTGCTAGGTAGGTGGGAGGGGAAATCAATCGACGAGGCTGTGAAATTACATCGACTGAGATGGTTAGGATATGTGTTACGTATGCCTAGTCATCGCTTTCTCGACTGACGGGCAATATTGGCTGACATAGGGTTGATCAAGTTGGAAAAGAATCAGTGATGGTCAAACCAAAAGATGACTTCATTAGTGCATGAAATCCACAACAGTTAGTTTAAGGTAACCATGTAGGAAGGTGTAGACAATCTTCCTGGTTGGGATCCTCGGGACAGTAAATACCAATGGCTGGAGACAACTGGTGATATGACTCAAAGTGATCGTTGTCAATGGCTGTCGCAGATGGATCCACTCCTTATGACTTATAATATCCAATAAAACTATATTGTTCTTCAATATTACTATTCTTTTTGCCTTTTATCTCTGTTTATTATTTATTATTGTATCCTTTAGTTCCTAGAAGAACATAGGGCTTCAGCCGACACGTCTCCATTGCGTTCGGTTTTCTGCCAACGTTTTCACCCGCTCCAAGTCTTCCCATACGCTTTCATCTCCTCTTCACATGATCGCCTCCAAGTCACCCTTGCACTGACGACCAACTCTCCGCCTCCCTTTCGGGTTCCACTCGAGCAATGGCTTGTCTAGTGATGTCACTTGATGGTTTCCTCAGCGTATGGCCAATCCATCTCCATTTCTTCCTGCCTATTTGTTTCACAATCGGTTCCTGGTTGGTTCGCTTATTGCCAGAGATCCCTGTTGCTGATCTTTCCTGGCCGGCCATCTGATCTTGAGTATTGAGCGAAGACAGCTGTTAATGAAGGTTTGAAGTTTGTTTGAGATGCTCTTTATGACTCGCCAAGTCTCTGATCCGTATAGTAGCACTGACTTTACATTGGAGTTGAAAATCCGGATGTTATTTTTGATGCTGAGTGCTGTTGACCTCCACACAGACTTGAGAGTAATGAAAGCTTGTCTTGCTTTTCCGATTCTGGCTTTGATATCCTCGTCAGTTCCGTCCGCCTGTAGTTGAGACGATGCTTCCCAGGTAGGTAAAGGAGGTTGTTTCTTTCAGGTTCTTCCCATTTATGCTGGCTGATTGTTGTCTGTTGTTGTTGTTGCTGTTGATGTTGGCTAGGAATCTTCATCACCTCTGTTTAGTCTCTCTATTTTGAATTTCTTCTTTTGCTTTGAGTGGTAAATGAAGTGTGGCAACTCGAACTGCTGCACATCGGTGCAAAGTTCTACATTGAAACCAGTCAGTGTCATCAGATTATTTATGTAGGCATAATTAGGTGTAATAATGCATTCATAGTAAAAATGTATTTTCTCTAATTTTAGCCTATCCAGTTGTCTCATTCAATGGTCGAAAAGCAATTATTATAGCTAATACAAGCTGGTTAGGTGCAAAAAATCCCAGTCTTGGAATAGCTTGTCTCATCACTGGTTGTATACACCTGTGCATTGGGATATTCTTCTTGGTGGGGCATTTCTTTTGGACCAAACAGTAAGTAAATTTAATATATATATGATATAATGTACTTTTTTGATGACAATTTTGTACAAGGTTCTAAAATTTTCTTCGTATATACGCATGATAAATAGTTCTCACAAAGATATTTACTGATAAACCCATGATACAACCACCAGTATTATTCCTAATAATAACATTAATAATAATGTTCAGGAAGGCTTCGTGTGCTTTTGGAAGTGTGTGGGCGGTTATTACTTCCCGGCTGCCCACACCACCGTTGAAGTTGATTGATTCTTCGGGTACCTGAAACAGATAGAGGGTTAGTGTTGCGTGACCGCAGATCCCAGCGGACAACTGCTTGAGGCCAGCCAGTCACACACAGCCTGTATGAACTAGTTTCTCAGTTTGGTTCCGTATTAGTAAACTTACCGCCGGTTACGAACCACCCACCGTAGGTGGAGTAAGTCGGGATGTACAATTTTTGGCGTCGACTCTTTCTAACCCCCTTTCTCCAGAGTGCTGAGACAGCATAGCTGGATGGCATGCTGGTCATCTAAGGGAAACACCTCACTGCTGTTACACCCCTGTTCCCCAGCAGTACGACTTCGCCCACAGACCCCCAGCATAATGTAAGAAAGATTCTTACACAATTCCGGTAACTGCTTTTAGTCTAATCTGGCTATCCTAATAACCTTCCTAGCATGGTAGGACCTGCAGGAACATTGGTTCCAGCCAGTGTAGCTTGTTGGGTCATCGCGATGTGTAAACCCGACTACCGCGTCAGGGTAGCAGCTATCGGTCGGGAATAATAATAATAATAAGAGCTTTATTCTTGATATGTAGTCACGTGATGTCTGTTTCGTTTTTGACAGTCTGATATATTTTGCCAATAAATGTTATGTACTGCTGAGTAGTTAATTGCCCTGACGCGAAAAGGGTAAAGTCAGAAGGCCACCACGTTGACGATGATACTTGTATTTTCCAACAATGGAAATTGACTGTCACACAAGTGTGTGAGTGAAAGGGTACGTAGTGTACGAAAGGTGTGAACAAGTTTGCATAAAAGTGTACAATGCAAAAGTATATACGAAAATGACTAACATACATGAACCAATAAGATAGACACCATTATTGGATTCTGATTGGTTGTAATGTCATGTGATAAAAAGGTCATACATTTTTTATTTAGTTGGTGGACAAATATATCAGACTGTCAAAAACAAAGGCAGACATCATGTGACTACATATCAATTCTGAACAGTGTTTATATAATGTACATAATCTTCAGCACAGTTTATTGCACGATATTTTCTCTTCGTCCAGGGTCTTCAAATATAACATAAGCTGACAGTAGATTGCCAAACAATCCATTATGATGATATCTCTTCTGAAAAAAATACACGACATTTTATAGAATGCCATGTATATAGAAAGTTTAGGAGTACATTTCGGGAACCAAGGATACCACTTAAGAACTTCTATCTCATGTATTGGGATTAGCTGCCATCCATCAACGATAATGCTTTTTCTCATTCCATATTAGTTTGATTATTAAATGTATCACACAGTGAAACAGTATTGTATACTGGATGACGTTTCGAACACAATTTATTGTTCATAATCATATCAATTTTTGTCACACGACTTCGAGATTTGATTTTTATAGTTTTCTCTGTCTTCTCCTATTTGTTGTATGGGCAGTAGAATTTTCCATATATCTGGGACAGGTGTTGAATCATTCCTATTACATGTATTTGCAGTTGATTCGATAAACAAAGCTTCTGTTATCAATCTCTCCCTATACCCTGTGACATTAGATTTTAAAACTGTCATCCTATCCCATCCTATTGTATGGTTGTGTGTAACTGCATGTAGTGCTATAGCTGAACTACTCTCTAGATTTCTTATCTTATTCGGGTCAACCAATCTAGATTTAGCTAGGTTTTTATGTTCGGCTAGTCTGACTGCCCCTGTTCTACTAGTTTGACCTATGTATTTGACCTCACAATCATTGCAGGGTATTAGATAAACTAAATTGTTTTGTTTTAATGGCTCTACAGGATCCTTTAACCGACAAAGCTTGTTTCTAATTGAGTTTGTGGGTTTGAATGCCACTTTTATTCCTGCCTTGTTAAGAATTCTGCGTAAGGCTTCCGAGGTTCCTTCTTTGTATGGAATTATTGTTGATGATTTACATTCCTTATTGTTGGTGTCGTTATTAATATTATTATTATTATTATCACTATTATTATTATTGTTATCATTATTATTATTATTATCACTATCTCTGTTATCATTATTTATTTTATTTTTACATTTACTTACATATTTCTTGACTAATTTATCCGGGTAATTATTAAGTTTCAAGGCTTCTTTTATGTGTGTCACTTCCTGTCTTAGATTTTCCTTGGTACTACTTAGTTTTTGTGCTCTGTCATTTAAACATTTCACTAATCCTATTTTTACTGACATAGGATGGGATGATCGGAAATCCAAATATCTGTTTGAATGTGTGGGTTTTCTGTAAACACTAGTGTTTAGCTTCCCATCTTCTTTCCTTTTTACGTTGCAATCTAACATTGGAAGTTCCCCTTCCTGACTTTCCAATTCATAAGTGAATTGAATTGCCTCTACCTTCGAGTTGATGTGCTCGAAAAATCTATCTATATCTTGTGTTCTAAGTACAGTGAATGTGTCATCTACATACCTCCACCATACTTTTGGGGTGGGGGTGAACGTTTCAATCGCTATCTTTTCCCACCTATCCATGAATATATCTGCTACCACCGGGGATATTGGTGATCCCATGGCAACTCCCTCAGTTTGTTTGTATATTTTCCCTTGGAATTTAAATACTGTAGAAGTCAGGCAAAGCTGCACTCCCAGCATTATGTCCTCAATTGGCACTTTTGTCCTAAGTTCGAGTTCTTGGTCAGAAATGAGTTCGTTTCTGACCGCCTCTATAGCCATATTTATTGGTATACGTGTATATAAACTGACAATGTCAAAACTAACCATTTTTTCTTCATTATCTAATTTTAAATTATCTAATCTGTGTTTTAGTTCATAAGAATTAGTTAGTCTAGATTTCGAGTGGATTTTTAGGGGATTTAATACCATGGCTAAATATTTAGATAATTCATAGGTAGGTGAATTTCTAAAATCAACTATAGGCCTAATAGGGTATCCTGATTTATGAATTTTAACAACACCATACATCCTACATCTAGCTAAATCTAGATTGGTTGACCCGAATAAGATAAGAAATCAAGAGAGTAGTTCAGCTATAGCACTACATGCAGTTACACACAACCATACAATAGGAGGGGAAAAGATGACAGTTTTAAAATCTAATGTCACAGGGTATAGGGAGAGATTGATAACAGAAGCTTTGTTTATCGAATCAACTGCAAATACATGTAATAGGAATGATTCAACACCTGTCCCAGATATATGGAAAATTCTACTGCCCATACAACAAATAGGAGAAGACAGAGAAAACTATAAAAATCAAATCTCGAAGTCGTGTGACAAAAATTGATATGATTATGAACAATAAATTGTGTTCGAAACGTCATCCAGTATACAATACTGTTTCACTGTGTGATACATTTAATAATCAAACTAATATGGAATTACTTAATACCACAGTGCCCAAGTTTTACACATATATTAGCTTTTTCTCATGTTTTGTAGAAACTTGCAAAACTTCTGATTGTAAATGTTTTCAATACTCGCCAGAGTAAACAACACTATTAGCAATCATATTTTACTGGATTTAAACAAACTGTATAAGAGAAATTTTATGGAATAATACTGATGGAAGTTTTCTGGTAGCCTAAGTTTTAAGCAGGCCACCGAATGTAGCTAAGTCCAGGCAATTCAAGTTGATCCTCAGTCGTCGTTGAACTGCCCTTACCAGGTTGATGCCGACATGTCAACGCAGAAGTCGAACACTTCCGTTCATTGGATCAACGGAGAAATCCAAGTTGAATTAAAAACGAATAATAACCGATGCTTGTTGAACAAGAATTGACCGTCATAGCCTAGTGGATAGCGCCTTACGGTTGAAAACGATGGACAGCGGTTTCGATTCTTCTCAGTGAGAATATCTCCATCGCTCATTGAGAATGTAGGTGCGTCCAGTTGAAGAGTCCCAAATGGAGTGAGATTTGCATCCTGGTAGATTCCACTGCTAGTCATCACCCACTGAATTACTTCAAGTTTAATCCTCAGATATCATTGAAGCGCCTGCAGTAGCAACCGACAGAGGCCAAATATATCCGTCCAGTCATCGATATATATATGTATATATGTATAATAATAATTATTATTGTTCCTTTGGGTTCCTAGTGGAACATAGGGCTTCAACTGCACGTCTCCACTTGCCACTTCTGTCTTCTGCTGTACTTTTCACCTGCATCCATGTTCGTCCATACTGTTTCAACTCCCCTTCACACGATCTTGAAGGATGTGGATTTCGTCGATGATAATATATATCTGATTTCCCACAAACTGGAAGATATGCAAATGAAAAGTAACAAGATGGTATAAGAAGCATCAATTATAGGAAGAAATTCAGGTGAACATAAAGAAGACAGAGAAGATGATTAAGATTCCTGGCCAACAACAACAGACAACAATCAGCATAAATGGGAGAAATATGAAAGAAGCAACCTCCTTTCCCTACCTGGGAAGCATCGTTTCAAGTACAGACAGGCGAAACTGATGGGGATATCAAAGCAGAGAGGATCGGGAAAGCAAGGCAAGCTTTCATTACTCTCAAGTCTGTGTGGAGGAGATCAGCAACACTCAGCATGAAAATGAAAATAAGATCCGGGTTTTCAACTTCATTGTGAAGTCAGTGCTACTTACTATACGGATCAGAGACTTGGCGCCTCGTCACGAAGGCCACTTCGAACAAACTACACATCTTCATCAACAGCTGTCTTCACTCAACACTCAGGATCAGATGGCCGACCAGAAAAGATCAGTAACAGGGATCTCTGGGAGCGAACCAACCAGAAACCGAT